CGTGTTGGAAGTTCTAATGTTGGTTAAATTGCATCGAATATGATGAATTGTGTTTTAAATGTTCAAATGTAGCTTAGGAACGAACTTATAGATTCATTTGGAACATAGACATTAGGTGGCATGACCCACTTTGTTGTTTTCGTATTTTAGATTTCAAGTGGATGGCTTTGAGAATCTATACCTTGTTGTTTCGTATAACATGCTTCTATATTGTTTGAATTGCATGAGAGATGTGAATTATGCTAGAAATGATCTAAGGTAGTTTAGGATGCTCCCTAAGTCTCACATTTGACATAGACATTAGGTGGCATGATCCTTTTCAATTGTTTCAAGTTAATGTAAAAATCTTTAAAGAAATCGAGTCTATGCATGTTCATTCTCTACGAGTAAACTTGTTTACTCACCCCGAAGTTACTGGGGGATTTGTTCAGGTACGAAGACTTGGTGCGTGGTGTTTATCATTGCTTGGATGATTGTAGACTTGAAGATTTTAATTCTTGTAAGGGTTGGCTTGAAATGTCATTTGTAACCTTAATTGTCAAAATGTGTATTTTTGATTCGATATATGTAATGTGTACATAAGTACACCCCTTGTATTGTATTTGACATGTACGAAATGAGGCCAGAGGCCAATGACATGTATTTTGTATCAAATGTAAATTTTGACTTCATGAAATATTATGAAAATATTGAAAAATCATGAGTTATTGTTTCACCATGGGTGCATCGGGTGTGGGAATTTCATTTTCATTCCTTCATAGGGTCTTATTAATCATGTATGAAGTGTGGCCAATGACTAAACGGTCATTTGAAGTCATTTGTTGATTTTGGTTTTCAAAGTTTCCATTTTAAGTTCATTTTCGCCTTTTTGGCCATTAGGGGGTCGGATTTTGACTCGACAGTTTCCGGGAGCCGCGGACCATTCTCGCGCACTCAAAATCACTATTTACATTTGCGTGTATGATTGTTTTCATGGAAAACTCTTTCGTTTGTGTTTTGAGCCTCCTATGGAATCATTTCACCTTTTTGTTGAAAAATTCGGCTTAAGGGCATTTTGGGGATTTTCTTTGGGAAATAAATTCCGTTCTTGACTCAGTCACATAGAAAATGTGATTTTAGGGTGAGTTTCTTCACAACATTTTTCCAAAAAATATCATCTTGACTTCAAAAACCGTGCTCAAATCTCAATTTTCAGCTTTTTCTGCAATTTTACTGTTTAAGTTCAACTCTGGTCAAGTTGAACCGGTTCAAGAAGGTTGAACCAGTTCAAGATGTGTCTTTTGGTCCAACATGGGCGTACTGCCCATGTTGAACCAGTTTAGGGTGGCTAAACCGGTTCAAGTCTTCCAGTTTTGTGTTGCAGGTTCAGCTTTGGTCTTCTAACTTTGAACTGATGTAACTTCTTCATTTCAACTCCAAATTGGTCCGTTCTTGAGTCTAAATTGACCGTGTCAAAGTAAGCTTTCCAATGGTTTAAATTTCAGATTTAGATTCTTCTCCAATCCCAAGTTATCGTCATTTTAGTGAGAGGGTGTCGGATTTTGTTTAAACCGGGATAGGGTTCATTTGGGATTTCATTTCCTTTGACCTTGGGACTTCATGTGAAGTTACCAAATGATGTTTTTGGATGTTTTTGAACTCATTTGACTTATTGGGAGTCAAATTTCTTCCTCTTAGGGTAAAATGACCATTTTACCCTTGGTCCTTCTTTTGGTAGGGTTTTGATGCCCTTGTCTTCGTTTTGTTTCCATTGAGCCTCGAAACTCCTCGAAGGGCTATTCTTGTGTCTTAGGGATGACGTACATCTCTAAGGACTTGTCTTTGTTTCGCTTCCACACTTTATTCATTTGGGTTCCGTGACCTTATAGAAGGTTATCTTAGGGTCTTAAAGGTGTGTCGTGCCTTGGGAAACCGTTATCTTGTTTCTTGCTTCCGCATTCTGGATCCGCTTCGGGTCATCACAGGACACACTGGGTTGAAAAATCCAGGATCGTCACATGATGGGTTCACTTCACATGACTTTTGTTTCTTGATTAGTACCTGTCACATGACTTTTGTTTCTTGATCGGGTATTTACACATTGACAAATATAGCATTTGTTTATCTTTTACTTTTTTTATTATTAATTTTTTTATTTATTTTTCCCTTCTATATTCCATTTTGTGAAAATTACATATAGACGAACTTTTGGAGTCCTCTTTACTATTTCATAGAGTTAGTCATTAACTTCAAATAAATAAATAAATAAATTTGAGTAAAATACTGACGGGAATATGAAAAAAAATTACGTCCATGCCCAAACTACCCTTTTTATTGTGTTGTATTGGGAATTAATATTCACATTCCAAACAAACTTTCAAGCACTCCACTTTTATTCTCAGATAAAGAAAATGACCAATGTAACCCTATATCACACCCATTACAATACTATCTCATCTATTCGCTTTTATCTATGGTCTTCTGTACACATCTTTTTGGGTTAGAACTAAACCGTCGGCAATGGTAGAATTCTTTTTCATAATAAATCCCTAGAAAAAAATGGGAAAGAGTATTGAGAAATTGAGAATTTATATATATATATATATTTATAGAATACGTATATGTATTAACACTGTAACTAGAGCTAGGAGTACCAAATATGATAGAAACAAAAGGCTGTAGATCAATCGATCGATGGCACCTCTTCGCTAGAAGTTAAAAACACGAAGAGACTCCCTTACTCGACCAAGACATTTACAGATAGAGATGAAAGAAAGGAAGAGGGAAGAAAGAGAGAGACACCGTATAATTCTATATGAAAAAAGATTATTAAAGGTCATTTTTGTTTTTTAATTATTTAGACAAAAGATTGGGATTATTTTGGAGTGCATATATCAGCTCCTCCTTGTATAATGACCGAGCTAACTGGTGTATGCACAAAAACTGATAATTAAGCGTACGAAAACTAACACCTCTACGCATAAATGTGGTACCTATGTGCACAGAATTAGTGACACAACTTTTAAACCTGTTCCACAATTATGTTTATTTGTATGATATGGAGGCTTCTTATTCCACATCAATTAAAGCACTTTTTCACTCTTTCATATATGCTAAGGGATTTCACCTTGGAAAGAAAATGTTTCATGCTAATGGATTCGAGTCCATAACAATGGTTCCAATGCATTAGATCTTATATCACTTACCAATGATGTCCTATCTATTAGTATTACACAGAAAAAATCAATTATAGACACTAATACAATTAGATCCGTTCGTCATAAATAAACTTCAGATTTGCTATCCCAACTAAACAAATGTTACATTTCTATGGAACAAGAGAAAAATTAAACAAAGTGAGTCATAGAACAAAATTTACACCCTAAGGTTATACAAAATGTTATATGTATGTATATATATATTCCAATAAGTATAGAGAATGTTATATTACTATAATTAATTGTGAAAAAAAAGTTAAGAAGTTGTTGCCTTATTTCCTTAATATCAATTATGTACACATAGATTTTATGTTTATGTGCATAAATATCACTTTTTGTGCACTTCGAAACTATTTTTTATGCATACAATGGTGAGCTAGGTCATTTTCTAAAATAATAAAAAGGTAATTTGATCATTAGCTTATATTGAACAATTTTTTCCCATGGAAAATTGATTGTCAGACCAATGTACCTAGCCCAAGCGTTGGCCAAATACACCAAGGCCAATGATAGCTTGAAGAAATCGAAGGTCATTAATGGGTTTCACTTTAGGTAATTCGGTCCAACACTTAGGCTACGTTATTCTGCTAGAATAGTGCATTCTTAAGTCACACAGTCTTTACCAAAAGATGACACTCTTACGTTTCGAACGTGCTTTCGTTCTCACGCTCCGCACATGTTCTCGCTCAAATTCTCACTGCTCATGACTTAATTCTGCCATTCTCACGCTCCCACTTTCGAATTCGCTCTCGTTCCCCCTCATGCTTTATGTGACTTAGGTGCATTGACTTTTAATGTCCGCATCAATCAATATTTTAGTCCAGTTCAATTATTTTATTTTATTTTATTCAAAAAAAATCATGACTTTTGACTCTATAAAATAATAAATAACTTTTGAAAAGTTATTTGTAATTTTTCTATTCTTTTAATCTTAATGCTTGATTGAACTCCAACTACAAATGAGAGATATCTCCCAACCATAACTAGTTATCAATTTGGTTAATTACATACTATATAATTACCAAGTTGAAGTTTCACACAACATGCTGGAAATGGAAGGAAAACTATATATATAGAATATAGTGGCATCAGCAGTGAAAAGAAAATTGCAAAAACAGTTGTAAAGTGTCACACTTGCAATAATAGAAAACCCACCATTTTTATCGGGTCCACATTTCCCGCGAAAATTCTCTCTTTTCTTTTAACAAAAAAACACTCTGTTAAACCTCAATTATTTACCACAAACTCAAAAAAAGGGTAGTCTTGGATTCAACTGTATAAACAAGCATCCATCTGTAAACAGATGTTAAACCCTTAATAACCATGCATCTTTCTTTTATCTGTTATGAATGAAAGTTCGACACACACACAGAAGATTCATTTGTGACTGCTGTTAATATCATAATACCATCTCACAAGATGATGGAGGAAATTAGAATTGGTGTGTGCCTGTGGGGTAATCAATCAACCAAGCTGCGGAGAGAGATTAATAAACCCCAAAAACCTTTTCTCTCCCTTTCTCTCTAGCACCCTCTCTCTCTCTTCCTCCCTGAATATATTATATAATCACATATACAATATATATATATATATATACACATTATGTAAATTTTGTTAGAATATATATAAACACATATATATATGTGCATGTGAATGCAACTCCTCTGAAAGATATGCATTGCATGCAAAAGATGACAAATATGTCTAAGTAATACCTATATAAATATTTAAGCAAGATGTCTAAATAACACATATATAAATAAATATACACAAGATTAAGATTGTTATTAAAGTTGTCAAATGATGACAAAAAATGATGGGGAAGCTAAGGATGACGATGGCGACTGTGCTAGTGGTGGTGGTGATGGTAAAATGGTGCTGAAGAAAGGGCCGTGGACACCGGAGGAGGATGCGATTCTGATAGATTACATCAAGAAGAATGGACACCGGAATTGGAATGCGGTGCAGAGGAACTCAGGGCTGGCTCGTTGTGCCAAGAGTTGTAGGCTTCGGTGGGCTAACCATTTGCGTCCTGATATCAAGAAAGGTTCTTTTACTCCCGAGGAAGAGAGCATCATTGTCAAGATGCATGCCAAGCATGGCAACAAATGGGCTCGCATGGCTGCCAAGGTACGCGTGCATGTATATATATATATATATATATATATATGTATGTATGTTTATGTACGTGATAAAACAAGTTTTGACACAAGCATAAGGTTGTTCCATTGTGATCTAGATTCGAGATTGAAATGCTGCATATCATATAAATGTATTTTTTTTTTTCCTCTCTGCGAAAATCCTATGCATCTCTCTTGGACATTCTAGTATTTCTCTCAGGCTAGTTTTTTCATTAATTGGTATTTTAACGAATCATTTGATTCTGCTTTGTTTTCTATCACTGCATGTTTAATTTCTCTGCTGCAAAACCGAATAACCATTACCCATTTTCTTTCTCTGCCTCAAAACATTCTGTGTTTCTATCATAATAGTCGTCTGTTTTTAGCTCTAAAAAAATAGAATACGGTTGGAAATTTTTGTAATTGGGTTACACTTTCTTTAAACCTGTTTTAGAACAGGTATGTATAAAACAAATAATAAGCTTTCGGAGTGCATGGCCAAATAGATATTATCTTTTCATTTGGGGAGTTCGATTGGTTAGATATTATCTTTTCATTTGGAGAGCTCGATTTGTTGGTGTGGGCATCTCCATTTTGTGGGGCTCATAGAATAGAGGGGAGAATCAAGGGCCCAAAACGGTAGGCTCTTGCAAAAAAAAGTGAAAAAATAGAGTTAATAAATCAAAAGGTATGATTTGAGTACCCACAAAGTGCAGATACCAACACCATGAAACATGAGCATCCAAAATAACGTGGATAGTCACGTTAGTAGAATTGTATCCATATGCTCTAACTAATTCACTTCCCAGAAACCTTCTGTGCTTATTTTTTCCTTTACCATTTTTTTAGACCTGAAAAGAGGCTCATGTATGTGAATATCTATATGTATATATGCAGTTACCTGGGCGAACAGACAATGAAATCAAGAACTACTGGCACACCAGAACAAAGAGACGATTGAAACAAGGCCTACCTCTCTACCCAGAAGGCATAGAAGATAACAATTTCATGGACAATTATAGCGCCAACAACAACAGACCTACAAGTTCCAACATGACACCTCCCACACCTTCCACTCCAACATCTCATTCCCAGCTCCCTTCACCACACGGCCTCTCCCCGGGCCACAATCTCTCCTCATTCCGCAACCTCTCATGGCCTGATCTCCAATTAGCTGTGCAGCAAAGTGGACCGTCGTACCAATCAACTCTCTCTCTCATTGACCCTGCTACCATTGCTTTCACCCCTCTTCGCACTCCTCCGGTTCTCTCCGCTCCGTTCGGCCGATTCAAGCGGCCTAGAAACACTGCCAACGGGTGGTCTCTGCCACCTTCACCGCCACCATCTTCTCTACTGCTTCATTCTTCCCCAATTACTTCGGTCCCATTGAGCCCGTCTTATGGACTGAGTACTTCATCACCAATTACTCAAACTCAATACACACCCGAAAGGGAACTCTCAAAGTGCTCTTCTTTTAGCTTCAAGTCGGAGCTCCCTTCAAGCCAATTGTCACCAAGATCAGCAGACTTGAAATCCAACATGGCTACCAAGATGGATATTAAAGCGCACGATGTTCGCTTTAATCTGAATTCAAGCCAATTATCACCAATTGGAGCCATGAAGTCCACCATGGGATCTAACATGGAGCTCAACTCAATCCCATTATCACCAACAGAGTCCTTAATCAGATCTACTATTGAAACTTTGTCACAAGATGCTTTGTTTCAAGAAGCTGAAGCAAAGGCAGAAGATTTATCGGGCAAAGAAAGGAGGAGAGAAGTTTCGCTTTCTCTAAGTGAATCCAAAACAGATGATTTATTGGGTGAAAGCTGGAGGGAAGACAGTGCTGCCAAAGAAAACTTAAAGATAGCTGATTTAATGAGAAATTCGTTTGGCAAAACCTTCAACGAGAGCTCAGACAGAGAAGGTTCGTTGGCGGAGAGCTTCTGGGGGAAAGCTGGTTCATTGGGGGAAAGGTTGGGGAGAGAAGATCTGCTGGCTTCACCAACGGGAGGCAGGCCTGAGTTGGATGGATTCGGCCAAGACTTTAGCCGAAGCACCACGAACACTCCTCCTCCTCCTACATTGGAATGCAGTGGGCCATGGGGCGATTTGATTTCTGTTCATTCCTCTGCAAGTGAGTTCTTTCTTTACCTCTCCTGTCTTCCCCTCTTAACACCCTGCCTAGACATGGTCATAAATGAAAAATACTATATAATGTTCCTCAAATATAGATTACATGGTATCACCAACTAATTTAATGCTGACACGCAATGATAGGATTGACTAAAATAAATTTATTTTTACTTATGTGACAAGATATAATTGATTAATAATAATGGTCATATGGTTTACTGGTGCACTAATGATATCACTGCGTTTTACCATTCATTTTAAACAATTGATTCATTCATGAACCCTAGACCTCCTTAGTATATGTGTTGCAATTTGGGTAGTATTGTTCTTCAATGATTTATTTTTTATTGTTATATGATTGGTTGGGATATATACAATGCCTCAGAGTCTGTTAAGCTTCAGAGTCGGTATAATTTTGAATGAATTAGATTGAATCAATTCTGAAGTTGATATAATTTAGTCATTGAGAAACCATGATGTATTCACTCCCTTGTATTTGCTTTTAAATTTGTTTCAGTCCTTCAAGAACATAATACTGTAATGGGAAGGGCAATTTCCACAGCAAAAAAGGTTGCATTCAGAGTCCCCATGTGGATGCAGCCTTCTTAGGTTGAAATAACAATCTCCTAATATATATATATATATATATATACATACATATAGTTAGTGTTTTTGTGTGTGTACATCAGATTGTTATTCCAATAGTGTAGCATTCACAGGCCCCTGTAATGGCTATGCAAATAGCATTTTCGTGTGTGTGTGTGTGTAAACGTATGTGTAATACAAATTTTTAACTGTATATATATCCATGGATAGTTCAACTTATATAGTTACCAATAGGCCCGTGGCTTAACGGTACAAGACTCCTACTTCTCAAAGGAAGGTTAGGGATTCGAACTTCGTGGAGGCAGTGTGTGTGAGTCCCAACTAGAGGAAAATAAAAATAAAAAAACTTATACAGTTAATTATTGGAAAAAAAAAACTTAGTGAAACTACAATAGCTTTTTGTTCATCTCTTAACTACTTTCAGTAAATCTTTTTTTCTAAATCAAGCTGCTAGATTGTATGTCTTTACCAAGTTTGTAATGCATGTCAAATATAATGTATGATCCATGAACTCACATTTTAATTAAAATATTATAATAAAATTTTAATATATAACCTAATTTGAGATAATTCTAAAATCTAGCACTTTACACTAGCTTTAACTAGACCCCTTCTATGTGTGTATATATATCATATATGTATATATATATGTAGCACTTTACTGATTCATCCATTTTCAGTCCCCCAGAAAAAAGACATTTGTGTTGCATTTCAGTATATGACAATGCCAGAATGGTGTTCCATAGTATAATATTTTTCCTGATAAATTCATGATCAGCTGAAAAGGCAAAGGAGGGAGCAGAAGAGCACATGATCAACATCATGCCTGAAGAATTATCAAGCCTTCTGGAATTTTTTCCTACCACAGTCGAAGTCCCGGACTGGTACCGAAATGATCAGGAAAGCTTGGGCGAGCAGAGTGATGTGGATGCTATTGCTGGATTTGGGGTGCAAATAAATTCATGGGACAACTTGCCTGGGATTTGCTAAGACTGCTCCCGAAAGATCTTATCAAGCTTTGATTTCTAAAGCTTTTACAGTAACTATAGACTTATAATTACAAATTTATTATATAGAACATATATATGATATTGTCATATAAATATTTGCCCTCAATGCAGAGAGGCAAGATGACTAAGTTCATCCTTTTCCATTGGAAATTCAGGACAAGCAAGGTAAACTCAATTCAGCAACTTAATTCAGTACAATATATATATATATATATATATATATATAGTCCTACAGGGGCAAAAAGGTCATATGCAAACCATTTTGATCCTACATCCCCTTCTGTGCTATGATGCAAGGGCCGCAATCAATGTCTCCAATATTGAATTTCCTTGCCTAGCCTTTCGGGTTGTGAAGGCTTTTCTTCTTGTATTTTTCTCTTGTTAGGTTTACCTTTCCTCCCGAACAGTGAGAGGATTTGTGCTCCTCTTAGAGAGCTTTATTTATAGTCTGTAGCACTCTCAAGTGCGCTTCCATTGTGAAGCCTTTGTACTCAACTCTTTTATTTGGTATTAATAAAACTTATGTAACTATTAAAAAAAATAAACCAAATATCTTTTCTCGTTCCTGAAAAAAAGATAACTAGGTGAGAAGCATAAACCTACATTACTTTTGCACAACTTAGAGCATATATTTTATCACATTTTGTATTATTTTTTTGCATTTTCTTAGAGAAGGAGTGGCTATCATCCTATCATGTGATACCTAACAACATCATTACATTTGATTCTTTATATTTATATTTTATTTTTTGGTATATTTTCTATTTTTATTTTATTTTAAAGTAATGATAAAAAAAAATATTGATTTTTTATGCGACTCCAATTAATATGTCTAATGACGACTCATTGTCAATTATGGATAAGAACACACTCTTTATTTCTATATTTGCCACATTAATTGATAACAAAAAATGATAAGCATTAAATCAATTTTTTTTATTTTTTACTTTTTGGTTGTAGGCAACACATACCAGGATATAAAGTCTCGACCTCCCATGTAAGAAAAGAAGAAGAAATACCGATTGCATTAAACACAATTTTTTTTTTTTGGTAGTAGAACCAACTCTTTTTTCTTTTAGGTTAGGTCGGACCAAGTCGTTCATTAACTAGTCCTTGGACTCCTGAACGATAGACCTCTCTAAGCTAAAGCATAAATTATGTTTGCCATGAATGAGAGACATAACTACCAAAAAAAAAAAAAAAATTGGGCAATACCTTCCAGCAATATTGTATCACTATTACAAGATGAAATAAAATACAATCATGGTTCATAATTACCCCATTACAAGATTAAGAAAGTTATATGATGATACGGACTCTACAATCTAACACGGACTCTAGTAAACACGAGAGTCAAAGAGTTGAATAAGTTATAATTAATAAAGCGATGTGGATAAAGAGTAGTTCTTCGATCCATATGAAATAAGTAAAGGGAAATTAATTCCCTTGTTAAATACTACAACCTACCCTATAAAAAGGGTAGTCAGCCAATTCAAAATGTACGACAAAAATCCCTAATAGAGTCCATTAATCTCCTTGGTCTCGTACTAACTTGACTGTCGGAGACTCTTGGGCTGGTACCGGTGCCTTTCCCACGACTCTTTCTCTTCTCTGTAGGTTGCGATGTCGTTCCGAGTCATGACAGAATCTTGCATCATCAGTTGGCACCGTCTGTGTGTAATAACCCGGTCATTTCCCTTCTTTTCTTTTTTCGGTAAATTTCTTTTTTTGTCTTTTCCCTATTTCGTCCTTTAGTCGTTTTGCATTTTTTCTTGCATAACCTCATTTTTTGTGCTCGGATTTGATTCCGGCTTTGCATACATCTATGATATTTCATTTATATGAGAACTACATTTTTACTTTTGTAGAAAAGCATGCTAATTGTTTACTTTCCTTGTAAAGGGCATGAATGTATAACCCTAGGTAATTATCCTAAACTTGAGGGGTTTTTTGTGTAATTAAATAAAGTAATTATTTTTCGTCTTAAAGACCATTTTATAATTTTATTTGGAAAATATTTTCAAAAAGGACCTTTTTGCAATTTCCGAAAAATGTGACAAGTGTCACATTCCTAAGGTGCCACTTATTGATATTGCGGAGGAACCACTTGGAAGCTTAATCTCATGACACATGAAGGGTGGAGATTCACCCATTTGTTGGCCTAGGGTTGGAGCACTTGTTGGTGTGGATGGTTGACAAGTGTAGGCTCAATGTTAAGTCTTGGAAGTTTACATAGGATTGTGACAAGTGTAGGTTTCACAATTAGTCTTGCAATTGTGTATGTGTGAGAGGCAATGCAAGAGCATCTAGTGAGTGGAGATCCCCACCACTTTTAACTTAGTTTTTCCATTCTACTTTAATTCATTCACCACTTTTCTCTTAAGAACCCTAAGAAAACCACCATTGAAGCTAAGCTTGGTTTAAAGCTTTAAGCTTCATTTTGAAGCCCTTACACTCACCTAAGAGCTTCGAACTTGGAATACTTTATTTTCCTCTCACTCTCCTCTATAAAACCTTAGCTTGGTTTTCCATTTTGAGCTTTGTTGCATTGGATTATAGAGATTCAATTCTCTATTGAGGTAGGGGGTGTTCTACTTTATTTTTCTAAGTGAATACTTTGTTGTCAGGGGCGGAGCCAGAAATTTGTTTCAGGAGGGGCGCCTTATTAAAAATGATAAATTATATTTTTTTCAAGCGAATAGTGATGCAAGACAATAAGGCCAAATATAGAACTGTAATAATCGTGGAATAATAGCATTTAATAATTTAAAAAATAATTATTTTAAAAAAATCAAAACCTAAAATACACCTTAAGAGTCCTGTTAGCAACAAATTTAATTACCAAATTTTGAAGAGAAAAAAAAATAGTTGAAATAAAGGAATGCAATTTTTTTTTTTAAGAGAATATAAAAAAGAAGAAGAAGAAGAAGAGGAGGAGGAGAAGAAGTAAGAATGAAAAGAAATGAAAAAATAATTATTTTAGTGGGCATTTTTGTAAAATTTTACAAATTATAGGCCTATTTGCAATAAAAATTAATTGGCCCAAGGGTAAATAATTATTTCAGTGGGGACATTTTTCACTTTTTTTATAAATTATTGGCCTATGTGTAATAAAATTTAATGGCCATTTTTTAGAAAAAAATTATTTTAGGGGGGGCATTTTGAAAACTTTTGTAAGCTATAAGCCATTTTGTAATTAAAACTAATGGGCCATTGTTATAATGATATACAAGTTGTATGCATGACCTATGTTAAATTAAGAAATAAGTGACTAATGGTCGTAGCTTGCTTATAATTCATTTTGAACTTGATATATGGCATGGCCATGACTTAAATCTTATTGTGTATTAATTTGATAGGATTTAAATGAGCTTTTAAATCTAGAGAATTAATTAATTTAAGTTGATTTAAATTTTATTTAATTGTACCATGCTTGTATTCCCATTTGGACTTGATATATGGCATGACCATAATTTACTTCTTGTTATATATTAAATTGGAATCATTTGGACGATTCTTGAAATTTAGAGAAATTAACTAGTTAGTCTACTTAATTTCTACCTTATTGATCTAATGATTTAGTCATAGTTCATGGAGCTTTATTGTGTTTGTATAACATGTCATGATTTGTTGCTCAACTTGTTGATTTTGGAAACTTGGGATATTATCAAGAACTTGACTAGGCTAGGACTTGGTTCTAGTACGGGGGAATTGTCTTCCTACATTATAGTACGCACTAGGGGAAAGGTACCCATGGGTTAGTAGCCCTAAAGTGATCTCAAGAGTACGGTTTTAATCCGGGCAATATCCAAGTATCCACTTTTGTTTGATTTTGCATTTAAATTCCAAGTTGTTAACTTTGCGAATTTGTATCTCATTATGCTATGTTGAAAGTTTTAATGTCACTTTAATAGCATGGATTGAATTATATTAAAATGCAAACCTTGTAATAAGTTGAACTTATGCATGTTCATTCCCTACGAGTAGACCTGTTTATTCACCCCGAAATTACTGGGTGTTTTTCAGGTAAAGAAGCCATATTGTGGGATGCACAACAATCTTAGACTTGCTAGACTACTTGGAGTATTTTTGCTATGTTAGAATATGCACTTGTTAGCATATCTTGTTCCATTTTGCTTATTATGTCAAAACATGTATTTGTTGTTCCAACTATGTAATGTGCACTTAAATGCACCTTTTGATACTCTATGGATGTGTGTGTAATGAGGCCAAGGGCCAAACATGTTTAACTTCACACTTGTAGCCATTGGTACCATCTTTTGCTTTAAGAATGCATTTAAAAAAAACTTTGGAGGTTTAGCATGTGAGATTTTTGTAAATGATGTGTATGGGGCCATGAGCCGTTGTTTTACGTTTAAACAATTCATATTACGGTTATTGGCATGTGTATACATCTATATCTCATTAGAAATTAGTTTTAAACCTTCATTTTTGAACCAAATCATCATAGGATTCAAAGCATGGGTTGAACCTTCACATTTTTGGCTTACAATAGGCCTTACAGCAGCCTTTCGAGGAGTTTCGGTCGACCGATGGCCCAAAACGGCCTACCGAACCAAAAAGCCCTTAAAAAGCACTGTTCATAAAGTATTCTGTGAGTTTTAGTCAACTGAAACTCACACCACCTCTATTTCGGTCGACCGAAATTCCCCCCACGTGCCTGACTTCCAGATTTTGTTCCAATACTGAAGGTCCAATTTTGAAGGGCCATAACTTCTTCATTTCTAACCCAAATGGGGTGATTCTTGAGCCTAAATTCATGATCTTGAAGTCAGCTTTCCAATGATACAAACCATGCATTAAAAATCTAATTGTAGTAAGAGTTATTCATGTTTTAGTAAGGTCGGGTTAGTTTTGTTTAAACCGGAAAGGGGCGTTTTGTGGGAATTCTTATCCAAAGTTCTTCGAACCTCTTGGAATGTTGTGAAATGATTAGATTATGTTGTATTAACCTTGTTT